TTCACCCAAACTCTATTCTCCCTCCTGTACCTCAGTCCCTTACCCCCAGGTCCCTTCTGCACCCAACCTCCATCCCAGACCCCGCATCTCCTCCATTAATACCATGGAAGAGTATGGGTGTGCCCCTCGGCCACTTTCCAAAATCTAGGAGTGTCCCCCTCTTCAAAAAGTATTGCCCACCCCTGGCCTACAATGTGCTGATAACACAGAGCAATATCACTCATTCTCATCAGGATGAAACAATGCCATCAACTAGTTACCACAATGTTTGTGGGGAAAACCCCAGTCATCTTGGGGTACATCGGCACTACAGCATTATTTCAAAACAACAAGGTGAGTGTGCCCACAGCAAGCCAGTTATTTTGAAATAATTTTGAAATAAAAAGCTCCTTGTTCTGGAATAATAAACCCTAATTTCATGAGCAATAACAGCTATTTCGAAATAGCTATTTCGAAAGAGGGCGAGTGTGGACAGCACAGCTCTGCTAATTTCAAAATAATTGGCCTTCAGGGATTCTCACAATTGCCCTGGTGGCCTCTCTGTCCATACTTCTCAAAACTCTACAGTTTCCCTACCCCTGCAGCTTTTAAAGCTGCAGCCACAGGGGAAACTGCTTGTGGCACAATGCAGGCAATGACAGCCCAGTGCCACACAGCACCACCCATTTCTGCAGTAATGGCTGACCCCAGTGCTCCCACCAAGCCCCCCAAGGCTACTAGCAAACTGGCAGCCAGCTCTGAAGCACCTGCTCAGGGGCAGAAGCAGAGGACCCCTTCCTGATCTGCTGTGGAAATCCTGGATCTCATAGAGGTCTGGGGAGGGAGGCAAACCTCCAGGATCTCCACAGCAGATGCAGGAACACAGTTGTCTACGGCCGGATAGCTGCAAGCCTGGGCCAGAAAGGTGACATGCGCACCCAGAGGCAAGGGAGCATGAAAATCAAGGAACCAAGGCAGGCCTACCAAGGCCAGAGAATGGAGTTCCCACTCTGGAGTGGCACCCCAGATCTGCCACTTTTATGAACAGCTGCACCACATGGGAGGGTCCCTGATCCTGATGGTGCAGTCAGGAAAAAAACTACTGGTATGCATCGTCTCCCGTCATGGACTCCAGCCTGGAGAAGCCTATTGTGAGCCCCCCCGGAGCGCAGGACTGTGGAAGAGGGTGATGAGGAGGTGGAGGAGAAAGACGAAGCCAGCCAGGACACGATGCCCACCAGCCAGGAGGTCATCCTGTGCCTGGAGCTGATACCCCCTTCCAGGATGTCACCCAAGTTTTGGACGAAGCCAGCAAAGGCCCATCAAGTGAGTTCCATTACTTTCCTAGACAGACGTGGGGAGAGGAGTCAGGCCTTCTCGGCCTAGGGATCGCAAAGCAGCCTGTGCACGTGGGTGCACATGGAGCACCAGTTTGGAGCAGACAGCCCCATGAGACTGCTCCTGCTCACAGGGTTCCTGAACAGGCCTGCCTGACTCCTGACTCCATAGTGGGACACCTTCCCACCATAAGCCACCACTAAGGAGGCTGGATGCATGGACACACACAGCAGTGCCAAACACAGCGCAGGCTGATGCCTGCACTCTCAGGGCAGCATCCACTCCCAGTCAAGTGCAGCAAGGCAGAGGACACCAGACCCCTGGCACGAGAACCTGCTGGGGGCAGGAAGAGGAAGGGACCCTACCTGACAAGTGGCATCTGCTGCTCACACACACCTTCCCCAACACCCTCCACCCCTCTCCTCCAGAAGCCAAGGCTAGAAGTCCTCTCTCTGTCGGATGCTGCCACTGCCACACCTAGTGTGAGCATGGCACAGAGGGAAGCTGAGTCGCCCTCTCACCCTCTTCCCACCCTGGCTTGTCAGGACCCTTCCTATGCCTGCTTGTCTCCAGAGTGTGGGCGTAGCAAGGCTCCTCTGGGACATCTGTGTCTCTGCAGGACAGGCCCACTGTCTAGGCCACAGATAACCTTGCTCAAAGCACATTGCCTTCACCAGAACTGAGACCTTTCAGTGTCAGCTCAGAGATGAGGGTAAGGCTTCATGCAGTGTCTCCTGGGATGACTGCACTTCTCTCTCCTTCACAGCTGGGCCAGAGTGACTGTGGTGTGTATACCACCTCCTGTGCTGTCCTCCCGATCTCAAGAGCCACCACCACAGGTGACCCTGTGAGGACCTGGAGCCAGAACACATCACCTGCCTGCGTGCCCTGCAGTGGTGTCTCGAGCAGCAGGAGCAGAGGGGGGATGCCAACTTGGAAGAGCACAGTGCTAACCGGGAGCTATGTCACAGCACTTGACATCTCATCTCAGCAGAACTGCAGCATGTATGGGGTATACATCACTGCCATTTACCGCCTGCTTGCCGCAATTGAGTGGTCCAGCAGCCGTCCCCCCACACCTACTCCTTCCAAGTGCCCCCTTCACCTGCTTCTGCCCCTGTCCCTACCCCTGTCCCTCCAGCTTCCCTCCCCTCAGTCCCTTCCTTTGACTGTTGAGGGCCATGCACACAAAGCGGTAGGACCACCTGAGAAAGGTGCCAGTCCCAGCCCTATCCCTCAGGGACTCCCAGGTGTGCACAGCCCCCTGATGGGCCTGCCGGATGGCAGCTGTGCATGGCTGCTCAAAGGCCCTGACCAGCCACTCAGCCTCTGCCCTCCACCCTGACAGGGTCATCTCCTGCTTGTTCTCTCACAGGTTATACAGAATACATCAGGCTGCCACCTTCTGGGGATGTTCCGTTTGCTGAAGTCCAGGCAGGTGAGGAGACACCGGAACCTCTCCTTCAAACAGCCAAAGGCGCCCTCCACCGCAGTGCGGGACCTGCTGAGCCTGGCATTGAACTGTATCTTGGTGGGGTCCAGGTGACCCATGTAGGGCTTCATTAGCCAGAGGAACAAGGGGAAGACTGCATCACCCACAATGCACATGGGCATGTCAACGTCCCTGATCCTGATGGTGCAGTCAGGAAAAAAACTACTGGTATGCATCGTCTGGAAGAGGCTGGAGTTGTGGAATATATGGGTGTCCTGTGCCATCCTCGACCACCTGATGTTAATGTGGCCTCAGTGCTCCACAAGGTCCTGGAGCACCATTGAAAAGTGCCCCTTCTTGTTGATGTAATTGAATGCCCAGTGATCGGGGGCCTGGATGGCGTTGTGGGTCCATCAGTGCCCCCCCCCCCCACAGTTGGGGAAGCCCATGGCAGCAAAGCTGGTGACGATACAGTCCACATCACCCAGGATAGTGACCCTGCTCAGAAGGATGGTGTTGATGGCTCTCACCACCTGTAGAAGGAGACAAACAGGTTGACAGAGTCCTCAGGAATTCTCTGAGCCCAAGCCCCTTCCCACAGCAGGAGCAACCCCAGCTACTCCATCTCCCACAGAGCTTTGTGAAGACAGGACTGCAAAACCTCCAGGGAGGGAGAATCCACAATACCCCCTTCCCTAGGGAACCTCATTCCTGGGCTTCACCACCCTCCTGGGACAATAGTAAGAGAGTCATACCTGCATGAGCATGGCCCCAACATTCGATCTCCCCAGGCCGAACTGGTTCCTGACAGAATGGTAGCTGTCCAGTGTGGCAGACTTCCCAATAGCAATGGCAACACACTTCTGCAGGCAGTTGGCGGGTTGCATGAGGGTGTCCCATCACCCGAGGACAGGGGTGGGCCACTTGCACAGCTTGAGGAAGGTGTCCTTCCACATGAGGAAATTCTGGAGCCACTCCTACTGCTCCATGACGATAAGGTCCCACCAGTCAGAACTGGTGTGCTGGTGTGCAGGGAAAGTTGGGAGGGGCTGTGGTGCATGAGAAAACCATGGAGTGGGGTGAGGAGGTATCCCAGAGTGTGCTTCTGGTCCTGGTTCTGCAGTGCTATGAAGGCAGCCTGCATTAATTGTGTCACGAGGTGAAGCATGAGGTCTAAGAGCTGGTGACTGCTTTGCAGCTGGTCCGGCTCCATAGCAGAAGTGCCAAGGGCAACCTGAGCATGCAATGAGAAGTTTGCTGTCCCTCGAGGAGGTAGGCAATGGAGAGGAGACTGAGACACAACTGCAGAGGGGGGTCCCTTTAAGCATGAACCTCAGATAGCTTCAGGCATCAGCTACAGGAAGTGACTGCCGTCCTGATGCCCTGCCCAGAGTGCTTCTGGGGGAGCTTAAATGCAATTGAGGCTCCAATCAGTGTGGATACACTAGTTAGACATAAATCTGTGCTATTTTGATGGACATCTGTAGTGTGGATGCACGATTTTGAAATGTTTTTTCAGGAGTTATTCTGAAATAGCTTATTTTGAAATAACTGCGTGGTATAGACAACCCTTTGGGGAATAAGAATGGGCTCAAATACAACCAAAGATAAAGATGATACTGGTGGGCAGGGGGAATCATCTCTCTAGTAAACAGTTCATTGACACTGAGTGAAGTTTCTTTAAATGCAGAGGGGACTATTGTATCACCTTTACATCCTACGCAGTTCTTAAATTAGCTTGCAACACGGGGCACGGTGTGCTTTAAATGGGTGTTGTAACTTTAAATCAGAAAACAAAACAACATTCTGTCAAAAAGTCCTGAATGCAGATATAACACAATGCTTCTGTAGTGACATGGATTACTCTGAGAAAGGGAGATACCCTAATGCAGCACTATTGACATCATTGGCTAAAAGATAAGGATTTAACGGCATCTTAACTATACCTCTGTCATTATGGGCATAATTTCCTCAACAAATGTTTTGAAGACTAACTGCCTGATTTGTCGGTGAAGTCTTCTAAAAGTTATGTCTCTAAATGGCTGCAACAGGGAACACAGAGTTGTCTCCAGAAATATTAAGTCTGTTCTTAAAAATGTAGGCCAAATGGTTGCAGGAAATGTTGTGTTGGTTAAATTACTGATGACTCATGTGTATAAAAAACTGCATCAACATGTTGTAAACCATCTTAGACTTATTATACACTGAGCCTGGTTTCACTTGTAAATCAGATCCATGTAAAAGGACTTACTTCAGAATTACACAGCCAGTACCAACAGGAGGTGCTGTCCAGAAAACATGAATGCGTGTCCGTCTTCTTGGTGTACTCTCAGTAACAGCCACAGGACAATTACTCATGAATTGTGTTTCTTCTTCATCGATTATCTAAAGAAATATAAAGATACTTTGTTATGAATGTGTTTAGAAAGTGTTTTATGTCAGTTTGTGTTTCCTTTAAAGGGAATAATCTGTTTCTATATTTGTACTAGCTCATTTGTACTAGCTTTTGCAGATAGGGTTGGAACAGCCAGTTAATCTTTTAAAACAAAATGAAACCAGAACTAGTGAAGAGATGCTCTCCAGTTATGGGTTAGGGCAGTGGTCTCCAGCCTTCTAGAGGACGAGATCACTTTTTGAATTTAAATGCAATCCAGATACCCAAATACTTGTGCCCTACCTCCTTTGTGCCTCTTCTCCAAGGCCCCACTGGACCGTGGATATTGCTGGACCAGAGAGTCCCGGTTTTGGGAGGTTCAACCTGTACTTTGCTCTGTGAACAGCCCTTTGGATTTCAATTGGAATTCTTATTGAGTGAAGCGTGTGAAATTTCCCCCGCTGCAAAACTGCAAACAGCATAGGACCAGAATTAAACTTTTCACAGAGCAGGGATTTTCTATACACCACTGTAAGCTCTTAATGCCACTATTTTCTCTCAGGTTAGCCACAGTCCCTTTTCTTAGCAAATGAACATCATTTTCAACTTATTTCACTGTATTTTACATTTTAGCTTGTCTCCTGCTACATTGTGTTCTAAACCCAGATGGGGAAAGAAGAGGATTTGGATTAGTTTTGCCTAAAGGTTATATCTCAAATTATGGCTCTGAGACGATGAAGTAATATAGTGCCTGCTTGGCTAAATAGGTCTGATTGTGTAGAACATGTCATTGTATTCCCCATGATGACTTATATACCTAGCAACATTATTATGTTTGAGGGAGTAAATATCAGAGATACTTGAGGCAACAATACTTGTTTAAATTTACTTCTGTACAGTCATATTATGAAATGTATTTGGTCTTTGTTTTGAATTATGCTTGTGTCTACTTTTCATTTTATACACCAATAAAATTAAGAAAAATTAACTGGCATTTCCAGCATTTTAGCACAAACCCAGAATATGTTGAATGATGAATGTTAACTAATAATTAGTAGGTAAATATTACTGCATGATTTAAATAACATAGCTACTCAGTTGAAATAACATTTACTCAGCACAAATATTATGATAAAGTTGTTAGGTATATGGAATTTTCAATCATTCATCCATCTGTGGGAGACAAATTGGGGGAAGTAATATATTTTATTGGACCAATTTATGCTGGTGAGAGAGACAAGCTTTCAAGCTTACACTTGATGAAGAGCTCTACATAAGCTCAAAAGCCTGTCTCGCTCAACAACATAAGTTGGTCCATAAAAGACATGACTTCACCTATTACTCAGGGTTAGCCGAAATCAAAGCTATGGTAATTAATTTGTTTTTCAGGCAGTTTAAGGAAATAAATCAGTTACAGGACACAGCATCTGTCTGATAAATGTCTGGTACACAGAAGAGTGCTTCTACTAAAAAAAACCACCAACCTTATTTTCTATATAGTACAAAATACACATCAAAAATAACAATAATCTAGAAGCACCCCAAAACAGTTAACCAAAATTTGAGGTGGTAGCAAGTAGCAACAACAGAGTCCCAGTGGCCAGCATTTCTCCCAGGGAGATTAATATTATTGTCTTCTCACTTGTAGAAAACTCAAATTTTGTAAAGTACACTTCAGAATTTTTTATAAGTAACTTAAAACAAAGCATAACTTAAAATAAATCGTTAATAGGATGAACATTTAGCATCAACAGCCTAATTTTTACTTGTCAGCAAAGCAGCCCTAGGAAAAGACGTAGACATAGACACTCATCTGATGGTCAGCTAACCTTGTCAGCAGCTGTTTATGTCTTCCTAAGCAAGGCGAAAAATCTTCTCAGAGTCGTGTTCTCACTTACAATTTATTGCAGCTAAGTGCACAACATGGCTGCATATCATATCAAGTCCAGCTTTCTCATAACATACTCACCTTGTTGCTAATATCCGGGGGCCAACATGGCTAACACACTGCATAAACCTCATGGGGTATGTCTACACGAGCCCCCTACTTCGAACTAGGGAGTCTAAAGTAGGCATTTGAAGTTGCAAATGAAGCCTGGGATTTAAATATCCCGGGCTTTATTTGCATCTTCCCGTCCAGGCGCCATTTTTAAATGCCACTAGTCCAAACTAACTGCCGGCGGCTTCACGCGGCAGTCAAACGTTAACTCGAACTAAGTCCTTCCACACTCACCTGTCATGTTGAGATGATACCGCTGCACTTAAGAATCTACAACTAGAAGCTGCATTATTTTTCATAATGGAAAAGTAATCAATGCTGGAAAGTACAATAATGGAAGCTACAGCTTTGAACCTACTTAAATTAATTAAACTGTTATTCAATCTGTTCTCCGAAAATACAGAGCTATTAAAGAACTATATTAAAATGCAAAACAGCTCATTGGGTCTTTCTTAAAAGGGACAGTTTCCTGGGAAAGCTGCAAATCATGACTAAATTATTGCATTGCTTACAGCAACATGAGCCCCATATTCTATGGGCATGCTGCAGGTAACCATCCTCTGAGAACAGTTAAAGACTATGCTCAATTCCGATTAAACAAGATGAAATAACTATAGGTTAGTGCCAGCACCTTAAGGCAGGCTGGATAGCAGCTAGTAAAAAATGAAAGCTTCATCTATAGGTCCCTAGATCCAAATCCAGTTTAGCTTATATTTAAAAGTCATTTTACCTGTTAAGTGTTTTTAGTGGCCTATATAAAATGAACTGGTGTTCAATCCAATTTCTACTGGACAAATGGACTGCATAGAAACCGATACTATTTCAGATATCACTTCCAGGAAAGACAGAGTAAAATAAGCTCTTGGTTACTTTCATATCACCAGAAATTAGGTTTTCCAGATCAAAGGGCAGGCATGCTGGCAGGAAAGTCTGTGCTGTATCTGTGTTACATTTTAGATACATTTTAGTCCTCAGTGAAATCTAGTACTTTTCACCAGCAACACATTTAAAAATAACAAAAAAGGTAGGACAGCTAATGCTAAAGGAAGGAGCTTCGGGGGGTAGCCTAGTTAGTCTGTTACAGAAAAAAACAACAAATGGTCTGGTAGCACTTTATAGACTAATAAAACATGTAGATGGGATCATGACTTGACAGTATTTCAACATTATTTCAAAATAACTGCCTGCTATGTAGACATGGACTAAGTTATTTCAGAATAATGCTAGTTATTTTGAAATAATGTTGCTGTGTAGCCGTACCCTAAGTTAGCCACTCTATCTCATGGTTATAACCTTGAGAACAGGTGATTGCTAACAGGGAGTTTTGAGAGGGAGTTCTCCAGGTGAAGGAGAAGCAGATACAGGACTCTTGAGGGAAGTGTGTTTTGTTATTGGGGCTTTCT